CTCTGGTATAACCTCTGGTCTCTCTGGTCTAACCTCTGGTCTCTCTGGTCCCTCTGGTCTAACCCTAACTCTCTCTCTGGTATAACCTCCGGTCTCTCTGGTCTAACCCTAACTCTCTCTCTGGTATAACCTCTGGTCTCCCTGGTCTAACCTCTGGTCTCTCTGGTCTAACCTCTGGTCTCTCTGGTGACTCCCTCCTAAATCCTTGCTTTGAGATGCACTTTTTCTCTTGTGATGGGACCATGTAAAATAGAAATGAGAGAGAGACCAGAGAGAGAGAGAGACCAGAGAGAGACCAGAGACACATTGAAGTGAGTTGTCGTGGGTTGAAAACAGCGGTGGTTCTCTGGTAAAGAATCGTTCGTGGTCGTCTCAATAACTCCTCGTCTCAATAACTTCCAAATCCTCCCAAACTGAGGCTCGGCGACGGCGCCATCGCTCACGGCTTCGGTCCAATCTTCGGGGAAATAACATCTGAACCGCGGTAACAAAGTCAGGACGACGCCGCGGGAAAGAAAGACCAAAACACACACACACTCGCCCCAAAGGATTGTGGGAAGAAGACGCCATTTTCACGGCGCAGTCAAGGCAGAAGTGAGAGCAGGAAGTGTCAGAGAGAATCAAATGTGGATCATGAAAAGAAGAAATGACTGAACTGTGTTTTAATGACAGTGTGGACCATGAACACCTGTAGGGATCCATGGTCCCGCTCTGCATTTCTGACCCAGAGACATTTCTGCGTCAGTTTGGGGGATTTTGCCTCTTCTCTGGCCCCTCTGACCTCTGGAGTTCCTCAAGGGTCAATCCTTGGTCCTTTATTGTTTATATATGCTTTGCTTGGACCCATCCTGAGAAAGCATGATGGCTTTCATTTTTATGCAGATGATTGTCAAATGTATTTACCACCGAAGAACTGTGGTGGACATGATTCTGCCTCTCTCTTGGATCATGGATGTCTTTAAACTTTCTGAACCTCAACCAGGAGAAAACTGAAGTTATTGTTTTTAGCCCGAGTAGTGGCCTCACTCCCTCTGCTGACCTGGGGTTTTTAATGACTCCAAAAAGCCAGAAGTGACTAATCTGGGTGTTAGCATGGACGCTAACCTGAAACTGGACCAGCAGATTTCAACAGTCGTCGAAGCACTTTGAGACTGTTGTGCTTTTGTGACAACCTGATTATTGTAAAGCACTTTACTGTGAGCTGAGCCAACAGGCACTTTCTCGTCTGCAGCTCGTCCAGAATTCGACTTTTCGACTTTTAACTGGAACTCGCAGATGTGAGCCTGTTACACTGGTTTTAAAATGTCTGCACTGGCTTTTGTTGGGTTTTAGAATTGATTTTATTTACTTCTAAATGTTTAAATGACCCCCTCCTACCTCTGGGATCTTGTTCTGCCCCATGTTCCCTCTCGTGCCTGAGGCAGATCCGCTGATGCAGGTGGTGCCTGAGACTCAGCGTAAGCCTCGAGGAGACCGAGCCTTTTCTGTCACAGGTCTTTGGATCCAGTCCCATTGAGACCAGTCCCATTGAGACCAGACCCATTGAGACCAGACTCAGTCTCTGCCTGTTTTTAAGTCACTTCTTAAAACTAACCTTTTTTCACTTGCTTTTGATAATGTTTGATTTGAGGTATTATTGTTTTATGTAGTTTTTAGTCTTATGTGTTTGTTTTTGTGAACAGCACTTTGGCTGAACTGTAAAGTTTTTAAAGTGCTTTATAAATAAAGCTGGTATGGTATGGTATGGTATTGTATGTTATGGCATGGTATGGTATGGTATGGTATGGTAATGTACGTGAACGGTGCAAAGTATTGCACTGAGAGAAGATTGGACTAGTGTGGATATTACGACCCTGGTCTCTCTCATAGCCCTGGTCTCTCTCTGTCTGCCCTGGTCTCTCTCTCTCTGCCCTGGTCTCTCTCTCTCTGCCCTGGTCTCTCTCTGTCTGCCCTGGTCTCTCTCTGTCAGCCCTGGTCTCTCTCTCTCTGCCCTGGTCTCTCTCTCTGCCTGGTCTCTCTCTCTCTGCCCTGGTCTCTCTCTGTCTGCCCTGGTCTCTCTCTCTCTGCCCTGGTCTCTCTCTGTCTGCCCTGGTCTCTCTCTGTCTGCCCTGGTCTCTCTCTCTCTGCCCTGGTCTCTCTCTCTCTGCCCTGGTTTCTCTCTCTCTGCCCTGGTCTCTCTCTGTCTGCCCTGGTCTCTCTCTCTATGCCCTGGTCTCTCTCTCAGCCCTGGCCTCTCTCTGTCTGCCCTGGTCTCTCTTTCTCAGCCCTGGTCTCTCTCACAGCCCTGGTCTCTCTCTCTCTGCCCTGGTCTCTCTTTCTCAGCCCTGGTCTCTCTCACAGCCCTGGTCTCTCTAACAGCCCGGGTCTCTCACAGCCCTGGTCTCTCTCTCTCAGCCCTGGTCTCTCTCTCTCTGCCCTGGTCTCTCTGTCTGCCCTGGTCTCTCTCTGTGTTTGCCCTGGTCTCTCTCTCTCAGCCCTGGTCTCTCTCACAGCCCTGGTCTCTCTCTCTCTGCCCTGGTCTTTCTCTCTCAGCCCTGGTCTCTCTCACAGCCCTGGTCTCTCTCTCTCAGCCTTGGTCTCTCCCACAGCCCTGGTCTCTCTCACAGCCCTGGTCTCTCTCACAGCCCTGGTCTCTCTCTCTCTGCCCTGGTCTTTCTCTCTCAGCCCTGGTCTCTCCCACAGCCCTGGTCTCTCTCACAGCCCTGGTCTCTCTAACAGCCCGGGTCTCTCACAGCCCTGGTCTCTCTAACAGCCCGGGTCTCTCACAGCCCTGGTCTCTCTCTAACAGCCCGGGTCTCTCTTCCTGTTACTCAAAATGTCAATAAAAAAATAAAAACATCTGATTCCGATTTTGCCAAAATGTAACAATTGTGACTTTGATGAACAGAATTTTTTTTAGGAAAGTGCAGAAGTCACAGAGACCGAACTGGGCTGAGGCATTTTGGAACGACAGAAGTAAAAGTCAGAAGAGCGTGAGATCCAGCCCTGCTCCTCTGTGTGTGTTTGTGTGTGTGTCTGTGTGTGTGTGTGTATGTGTGTGTAAACGTGTGTGTCCTTCCTTGGCACTCCTCGGCGGGACAGCTGGTCGGCCTCCCCGCCTCTCTGGCTTCACACGGGGCGTCCGGTCCAGGTGACATCTGCGCATCCTGCCTTGGACCGAACCGCACGAAGCTCTAAAAGTGAATTACAACATTAACGACGGCGCTCTGCAAGCTGTCGCCGCGTATTAGACGTCCATTACGGCGAGCACGGCTTCGGGGACGACCGGAGCGGGCGCTTTATGGACTCCACGGCGGCAGGTTCAGAGGCGAGTGCGGAGGCAGAGCGCGGGCACCAGTTCAAGACACAGACTAAACTTATTCACAGAGAAATGTGTTCAGTCAGAAGTCTGCGGGACTCACCGGGGTTTCTCTCCTTTTCACACTGGTTTTTTTTAACTGTTCTTTGTCAATGCAGCGATAATTCAGGACATTATGGATATTTATTAACATTTACAGGCATTTATTTACCTTTATGTGGTAAAGGCCTCTCCCTGGTCTCTCCCTGGTCTCTCTCTGGTCTCTCCCTGGTCTCTCCCTGGTCTCTCTCTGGTCTATCTCCGGTCTATCTCCGGTCTCTCCCTGGTCTCTCTCTGGTCTATCTCCGGTCTATCTCCGGTCTCTCCCTGGTCTCTCTCTGGTCTCTCCCTGGTCTCTCCCTGGTCTCTCCCTGGTCTCTCTCTGGTCTCTCCCTGGTCTCTCCCTGGTCTATCTCTGGTCTCTCCCTGGTCTCTCCCTGGTCTATCTCCGGTCTCTCCCTGGTCTCTCCCTGGTCTATCTCCGGTCTCTCCCTGGTCTCTCTCTGGTCTCTCCCTGGTCTCTTCCTGGTCTCTCCCTGGTCTCTCCCTGGTCTATCTCTGGTCTCTCCCTGGTCTCTCCCTGGTCTATCTCCGGTCTATCTCCGGTCTCTCCCTGGTCTCTCCCTGGTCTCTCCCTGGTCTCTCTCTGGTCTCTCCCTCGTCTCTCTGGTCTCTCCCTGGTCTCTCCCTGGTCTCTCCCCGGTTTCCCCTGGTCTCTACGAGGCGGTCTGAATCCAGGTGATGCCTAGAGCTAAACTCAGCCTCGGGTCTCGTCACTTCCCATCTGAGCTCTGTGGTCTGCACTGCCTAAATATTCAGACCAATGAATTATGAATAACCGTATTTGAGAGCGGAGAGAGACCAGAGAGGGACCAGAAAGAGAGACTAGAGAGAGAGACCAGAGAGAGACCAGAGAGAGAGACTAGAGAGAGAGACCAGAGAGAGACCAAATAGAGACCAAAGAGAGAGACCAGAGAGAGACCAAATAGAGACCAAAGAGAGACCAGAGCGAGAGACTAGAGAGAGAGACCAGAGAAAGACCAGAGAAAGACCAGAGAAAGACCAGAGAGAGACCAGAGAGAGACCAGAGAGAGACCAGAGAGAGAGACCAGAGAGAGACCAGAGAGAGAGACCAGAGAGAGACCAGAGAGAGACCAGAGAGAGGGAGACCGGATATTCAGTCAAATGCATTATGTATAACCATATTTGATCCCAGATGTCTGTGATCACACTCTCAGATTAAGAGAATTAAGTTGTGTGATGAGGATTGTGCTGATGGCTTTCTCTGCTCCTCCTCTGCTCTTTCTCTGCTCTTTCTCTGCTCCTACTCTTCTCCTCCTCTGCTCTTTCTCTGGTCCTCCTCTGCTCCTCCTCTGCTCTTTCTCTGCTCCTCCTCTGCTCCTCCTCTGCTCTTTCTCTGCTCCTCCTCTGCTCCTCCTCTGCTCTTTCTCTGCTCCTCCTCTGCTCTTTCTCTGCTCCTCCTCTAATCTTTCTCTGCTCCTCCTCTTCTCTTTCTCTTCTTCTCCTCTGCTCTTTCACTGCTCCTCCTCTGGTCCACCTCTGCTCCTCCTCGGTCTACCTCTGGTCAACCTTTGGTCCTTCTCTGCTCCTCCTCTGTTCCACCACTTGTCCTTCTCTGGACCTCCTCTGCTCCTTCTCTGGTCTACTTCTGGTCCACTTCTGGTCTCTCCTCTGCTTCTCTTCTCCTCCTCTGCTCCGCCTCTGCTCCTCCGGAGGGAGAGGCCGAAGGGAGAGGACAGAGGGAGAGGCCGGAGGGAGAGGACAGAGGGAGAGGCCGGAGGGAGAGGACAGAGGGAGAGGCCGGAGGGAGAGGACAGAGGGAGAGGCCGGAGGGAGAGGACAGAGGGAGAGGCCGGAGGGTGAGGCCGGAGGGAGAGGCCGAAGGGAGAGGCCGGAGGGAGAGGCCGGAGGGAGAGGCCGGAGGGAGAGGCCGGAGGGAGAGGCAGGAAGGAGAGACCAAGGGGTGAGACCGGAGGGAGAGGCCGGAGGGAGAGGCCGGAGGGAGAGGCCGGAGGGAGAGGACAGAGGGAGAGGCCGAAGGGAGAGGCCGGAGGGAGAGGCCGGAGGGAGAGGCCGGAGGGAGAGGCCCGGAGGGAGAGGCCGGAGGGAGAGGCCGGAGGGAGAGGCCGAAGGGAGAGGACAGAGGGAGAGGCCGGAGGGAGAGGACAGAGGGAGAGGACAGAGGGAGAGGCCGGAGGGAGAGGACAGAGGGAGAGGACAGAGGGAGAGGCCGGAGGGTGAGGCCGGAGGGAGAGGACAGAGGGAGAGGCCGGAGGGAGAGGACAGAGGGAGAGGCCGGAGGGAGAGGACAGAGGGAGAGGCCGGAGGGAGAGGCCGAAGGGAGAGGACAGAGGGAGAGGCCGGAGGGAGAGGACAGAGGGAGAGGCCGGAGGGAGAGGACAGAGGGAGAGGCCGGAGGGAGAGGCCGGAGGGAGAGGCCGAAGGGAGAGGCCGGAGGGAGAGGCCGGAGGGAGAGGCCGGAGGGAGAGGCCGAAGGGAGAGGACAGAGGGAGAGGCCAGAGGGAGAGGACAGAGGGAGAGGCCGGAGGGAGAGGCCGAAGGGAGAGGCCGGAGGGAGAGGCCGGAGGGAGAGGCAGGAAGGAGAGACCAAGGGGTGAGACTGGAGGGAGAGGACAGAGGGAGAGGCCGGAGGGAGAGGCCGGAGGGAGAGGCCGAAGGGAGAGGACAGAGGGAGAGGCCGGAGGGAGAGGCCAGAGGGAGAGGCCGGAGGGAGAGGCCGGAGGGAGAGGCCGAAGGGAGAGGCCGGAGGGAGAGGCCGGAGGGAGAGGCAGGAAGGAGAGACCAAGGGGTGAGACTGGAGGGAGAGACCGGAGGGAGAGGCCGGAGGGAGAGGCCGGAGGGAGAGGCCGGAGAGAGAGACCGGAGAGAGAGGCAGGAAGGAGAGACCAAGGGGTGAGACCGGAGGGAGAGGCCGGAGGGAGAGGCCGGAGGGAGAGGCCGGAGGGAGAGGCAAGAAGGAGAGGCCGAAGGGGGAGAGGCCGGAGGGAGAGGCCAGTGCGAGAGACCAGACCCAACACAAAGAGCTCCCAGTCATTGAGGCAATAGATTTATTCAAATACTCAGATATTTATCCCGCCGCTGCTTAAATAATGCACCCGTCATCATGGGAACCCGTGCGGCCGCTCTCCTCGCACTCTCGCCCTCGTCCAGTTCCCGGCGGCGGGAGGTGATTTGTAAAACACATTTGTAAAACACATTTGTAAAACACGTCGTCCTGGCGCTGTGCTTAAACCTCCTCTCGCCGCTTGACTTTGGCTCCGGCCCGGAACCGCTTTCGGCATCATTAAAACATTCCGCGACTACATTTTCTCCCAGTCAATCACCGAGGCCTTCCCATTTTTAAGTCTCTGCGAGTGCGCGCTCACAAGGACACGCCACTGTACCCCCCCACACCGCCACGCCGCCTGCCCCCCCCTCCCTCGCACCGCCGCTGACTGCTAATAAGTCGGCCGTACGCTGGGTGATTTGTGATTTTTGCGCTTGTGCCAAAACTCGTTACGGTTGTGTTTTAACGGCGAGGCGCGGCCAGCGTGACCGGCCCTGACGATCTGTTCCACATTAGCGGCTAACCTCCTGCCTCACCATCTTCATTCAACAATGGAGTCAGACAAGCGCAGCTGTTTTATAGAGAGAGAGAGAGAGAGAGAGAGAGAGAGAGAGAGAGAGAGAGAGAGAGAGAGAGAGAGAGAGAGAGAGAGAGAGAGAGAGAGACCGACAGAACCGCAGAGGTGCTCTTCTTCTTTTGTGGCAGTTGGATCCAAACCCGTCGGTTGTCGTCTGGATGGAGCCGTGACAAATATGTTTCAAATCAAAGAAAACCATCCATCCATTTTCTTCCCCTTAATCCATGTCTGGGTCGGGGGTGGCAGTCACAGCACCAGCCCCTCACTGATTCTCCTGCAGGTGCTGAGTCCACAGGAGCTGAGATCTTTCAGTGGGGGCTTCAGGCAAAGTGGGGTTAAGTGTCTTGCCCAAGGACACAACAACAGCAGACATCAGTGGGAGTCGTGATGTAGGTCTTATAGTGGGCTCGAACCCACAACCTTCAGGCTCTAAGGCCAATGCTCTACCAACTGAGCCAATTTGGGGCGACAGTCAATCAAAACAACATGTAATTTCATAAAAGTAGAAATGAAATGAAAATACAAATGTCTTTTTCTTTCTTTCAGGTCCAATCTGGGATTACTCTTTTCTCCGGGACTTTATCTTCTGGTCGGTCTGCGGCGCTGACACCGGTAAGAGCGGCGCTGACACCGGTAAGAGCTGGTTTGAACTCACTGTGAGAGAAAAACAAACTTCATGAGATCGATTTGTTCCGGAAACTTCTGGGTTCGTTCTTTGATACGATATTAGTCATAAATATATAAACTTTTGTCGGTTAAAGGGTCTGATTGTGATTCTCTGGTTCGTTTCTCTTTGATGGTCCAAAACACGGTTATTCAACATGTGGTCTGGGGTCCAATCTCCTCCAGGTCCAAATGTGTGGCTTTGTGTTATTGTTAAAATGTGACAATAGTGTTTGTCTTTTCCTGCTGGGTTCAGTCGTGGTTTTCTGGAGAATTGTTTATTTTTCACAATCGATGAAATTAAATATTAGTTGGTGCTTTTAAGTTTGGGATTTTCTGTGAAACCAAACTGTGATTTTATATTTTACATATTTATGATTCATGTGTTCAGACTTATCCTGAGTCCAAGACACTTTTATTCTGTTTTCTCCTTCTTGATCTAATGGTTAGTCTGCTGCTGGTCTCTCTCTGGTCTCTCTCTCTGGTCTCTCTCTGGTCTCTCTCTGGTCTCTCTCTCTGGTCTCTCTCTGGTCTCTCTCTGGTCTCTCTCTGGTCTCTCTCTGGTCTCTCTCTCTGGTCTCTCTCTGCTCTCTCTCTGGTCTCTCTCTGGTCTCTCTCTGGTCTCTCTCTCTGGTCTCTCTCTCTGGCCTCTCTCTCTGGTCTCTCTCTCTGGTCTCTCTCTGGTCTCTCTCTCTGGTCTCTCTCTGGTCTCTCTCTGGTCTCTCTCTGGTCTCTCTCTGGTCTCTCTCTGGTCCTCTCTCTCTGGCCTCTCTCTCTGGTCTCTCTCTCTGGTCTCTCTCTGGTCTCTCTCTGGACTCTCTCTGGTCTCTCTCTGGTCTCTCTCTGGTCTCTCTCTCTGGCCTCTCTCTCTGGTCTCTCTCTCTGGTCTCTCTCTGGTCTCTCTCTGGTCTCTCTCTCTGGTCTCTCTCTGGTCTCTCTCTGGTCTCTCTCTGGTCTCTCTCTGGTCTCTCTCTGGTCTCTCTCTGGTCTCTCTCTCTCTTGTCTCTCTCTGGTCTCTCTCTGGTCTTTCTCAGGTCTCTCTCTCTCTCTCTCTGGTCTCTCTCTCTGGTCTTTCTCAGGTCTTTCTCTCTCTCTCTCTGGTCTCTCTCTGGTCTCTCTCTGGTCTCTCTCTCTGGTCTCTCTCTGGTCTCTCTCTGGTCTCTCTCTGGTCTCTCTCTCTGGTCTCTCTCTGGTCTCTCTCTGGTCTCTCTCTGGTCTCTCTCTGGTCTCTCTTTGGTCTCTCTCTGGTCTCTCTCTCTGGTCTCTCTCTCTGGTCTCTCTCTGGTCTCTCTCTCTGGTCTCTCTCTGGTCTCTCTCTCTCTGGTCTCTCTCTGGTCTCTCTCTGGTCTCTCTCTCTCTGGTCTCTCTCTCTGGTCTCTCTCTGGTCTCTCTCTCTCTGGTCTCTCTCAGTCATAACCACAGCCTACTCCGTCTTACACAAAGCCTCCATGTTCCGTCGTGTGGCTTTACACAGAACAGTAAATACAGTAATTATTGAAACCAGGACTGACGCTCATGACTCAAAAGTCCAAACGATGAAAGAATATTTCTGTGATTGTCCGATGGCGTGAGTCAATACGGCGTCGGGAGACACGCTGGGAACGGTTTAATTAGCAGAGCAGCTAAAATAACGAGGCGGCAGAAGAAAGCGTTTTTCATTTGACTTTGGTTTTGATGGCGACGGTAACGGCTTGATCTGCTCCGACACAGACGCTGCCGACGACGGAACAGTGTGTTTCCACCGAGCGCCATTGTCTTTCATTAAACTGAGAACGGGTTTGGGGGGAATGCTAATATGCTAACAGTGTCGTCTGAGTGTGGAGGTGTTTGTGTTTAGGGATTTTTTTTCTTTTTTGTTGTTGCGGGGAGAGAGAGGTTAGAGAGAAAGAGAGACCACAGAGAGAGAAACCAGAGGGAGAGAGACCAGAGAGAGAGAAACCAGAAAGAGACTGAAGCAAGACTCGAGAGGGAGTACTTGACTACAGAGACTAGAGAGTCTAGAGAGAGAGACTAGAAAGAGACTAGAGAGTCTAGAGAGAGAGACTAGAGAGAGACTAATGAGTCTAAGGAGAGAGACTAGGGGGGACTAAAGAGAGTCTAGAGAAGAGAGACTAGAGGGAGAGACTAGAGGGAGACTAGAGAGAGAGACTAGAGAGAGAGACTAGAGAGAGAGACTAGAGGGAGACTAGGGGGGGACTAGAGAGAGACTAGAGGGAGAATAGGGAGGGACTAGAGAGAAACCAGAGAGACCTGGCAAACACAGGTCCTCCTCAAATCTGATCTTCTTCTTCGTTATCTTGTAGCGGTTGCCAGATCCACGGTCTCTTTCCTCATTTAACACTGTTGAAATGTCCTCGTATTCTCCGTCTATAACTTTTGTCGCAGCTGTAGCCTACTTCTCTGACTTCCAACGCTCTTTGCTCGAAGGTGACTTGACGATTTTACTCTGAGAAAATAAATGTATTCACTTTGAGAAAGGCGTGACATATTCTGGCAACTGAGGAAAAGACAAAAAACCTGTATTTTGGATAAACACAGAGGACACTCGATGGAACGGGAATCCTCATGTTTGGAGAGAGACGAGAGAGAGACCAGAGAGAGACCAGAGAGAGACGAGAGAGAGACGAGAGAGAGACCAGAGAGAGACCAGAGAGAGACGAGAGAGAGACGAGAGAGAGACCAGAGAGAGACCAGAGAGAGACCAGAGAGAGACCAGAGAGAGACCAGAGAGAAACCAGAGAGAGACCAGAGAGAGACCAGAGAGAGACCAGAGAGACCAGAGAGAGACCAGAGAGAGACCAGAGAGAGACTAGAGAGACTAGAAAGAGACTAGATAGAGAGACTAGAGAGAGAGAGAGACTAGAGAGACTAGAGAGAGACTAGAGAGAAACTAGAAAGAGACTAGAGAGAGACTGGAGAGAGACTGGAGAGAGAAACAGGAGAGATGGACCAGTGAGAGAGCTAAGAGAGGGTGAAAGCAGCAAGGGCAGAGAAAGAGAGGGACCACAGAGAGAGGGACCACAGAGAGAGGGACCACAGAGAGAGGGACCACAGAGAGAGGGACCACAGAGAGAGGGACCACAGAGAGAGAGGGACCACAGAGAGAGGGGCCACAGAGAGAGAGGGACCACAGAGAGAGGGGCCACAGAGAGAGGGGCCACAGAGAGAGGAGCCACAGAGAGAGGGGCCACAGAGAGACTAGAGAGAGAGAGAGAGAGAGACTAGATAGAGGGGCCACGGAGAGAGGGACCACAGAGAGACTAGAGAGAGAGAGAGACTAGATAGAGAGAGAGACTAGATGGAGGGGCCATGGAGAAAGACGAGAGAGAGAGAGAGAGAGACCAGAGATAGGGGCCACAGAGAGACTAGAGAGAGAGAGAGACTATATAGAGAGACCACGGAGAGAGACTGGAGAGAGAGAGAGAGACCAGAGATAGGGGCCACAGAGAGACTAGAGAGAGAGAGAGACTATATAGAGAGACCACGGAGAGAGACTGGAGAGAGAGAGAGAGAGACCAGAGAGAGGGGCCATAGAGCGAGACTGGAGAGAGACTAGAGAGGGAGAGAGAGAAAGACCCTAATCTCCTCTGTGTCTGTGCTTCCACTTCTACGCCCCCGAAAATCTGGAACCATGTCACACGCCGCCATCAAAGCCGCCGTTGTAATTTTCTCTTCAAGGACGAGTTGAAAGAATGTCAGGAGGAAAAGTGCCGATACTTCGCTCGCTCGCTGCCTCTTTGTGAGCTCTCCTCTGTTTCTCTCTCTCTCTCTCTTTCTTCTTCTTCTTCTTCTCTCTGGAGGCAGACGCTGGTCTCTGATTCAGCACCAGCTTCAGGATTGAATAATAGGACTTTCCCGACGACTTTCTCTCCGTCTGAGAATCAGGGCCACGGCTCCGAGTGAGGCCTCTGTGGCTTCTTAGTGTTTTGTTTAAAGTAATGTGTTGCACTTCACAAGGTTTCCACACACTACAATAAACATGTATCAGAGTATCATTTCAAAATAATCTTTCCTGAACCTCCATCTTTATTTTTATTTTTATTTTTTTCTCTTCAATGTGAATAAATGTAATCATAATAACAATAATAATTAATAAGTCTGGGAAAAAATGCGGCAAACAAAGGCACGATGATAGTGACCGACACACAACCAGATGTTAATGTGTGGTTATTGTTTTACCAGAGACACGGGTTTGAGGCAGCGTTTTTTGGGTCCGTTGGAAACAGCCTCAATTTCCTCGAACAGAACAATTAAAACAGAAAAAACCTTTCAAAATACAGTTGGAATGAGTGAGAGAAACTAGAGAGAGAGAGAGAGAGTCCTGGGTCTAAAGCCTCAGTCCTCAGCTCGGGATGAGGACTCTCGCAATCTCTGGTGAGGCTGTAGACCCAGGACTGAGGCTGTGGATCCAGGACTGAGGCTGTAGACCCAGGACTGAAGCTGTAGATCCAGGACTGAGGCTGTCGATCCAGGACTGAGGCTGTAGATCCAGGACTGAGACTGTAGACCCAGGACTGAGGCTGTAGACCCAGGACTGAGGCTGTAGACCCAGGACTGAGACTGTAGACCCAGGACTGAGGCTTTAGACCTAGGACTGAGGCTGTAGACCCAGGACTGAGGCTGTAGACCCAGGACCGAGGCTGTAGACCCAGGACTGAGACTGTAGACCCAGGACTAAGACTGTAGACCCAGGACTGAGGCTGTAGACCCAGGACTGAGACTGTAGACCCAGGACTAAGACTGTAGACCCAGGACTGAGGCTGTAGACCCAGGACTGAGGCTGTAGATCCAGGACTGAGGCTGTAGATCCAGGACTGAGGCTGTAGACCCAGGACTAAGGCTGTAGACCCAGGACTAAGGCTGTAGACCCAGGACTGAGGCTGTAGACCCAGGACTGAGGCTGTAGACCCAGGACTAAGGCTGTAGACCCAGGACTGAGGCTGTAGACCCAGGACTAAGGCTGTAGACCCAGGACTGAGGCTGTAGACCCAGGACTAAGGCTGTAGACCCAGGACTGAGGCTGTAGACCCAGGACTGAGGCTGTAGACCCAGGACTGAGGCTGTAGACCCAGGACTGAGGCTCATATTCTCCGCTGCTTAAGAACATTACACACATCTGTAAATCCTCCTGAACCAAGTGACATTATTGCTCCAGAGTGTATTTTATTTTATTTTATCCTCTTACAAAACAAGTGCCTTTGGAGTACGTTTTATTTTGAAAATCCAGACCTTTTCAGTGACGGACATTCATAGTTTTTCTGCAGAATGAGAATGAGTGTCTGAGCCTTTCCGGCACATTAAGGCTGTGGAATAGTTCTTTCTCTTCGAGTGAATCATTCGGCGGCGATAAACAAACGAATGCAAAGGCAGTTATCAGGACGTGAAGCCGTTTACGCCTTCTTTACTTTCTATTTTCATCTCCGCTTTTTGACTTTTTCTGAAGTTTCCGGCGGCAAAGTGTGCGAGAGCTGAAGAAGCAGACGTTGCGGAGAACAAAGCCTTGGACGAGGATCGAGTTGGAATCAAACACTAAACATTTGGGGATTACCGTGCGTCCAGTGTCCAGTTTTAGATAATTTTAGAGTCTGGAAGCGTCGGGGATTTAAAATAGTTTGGGGAAAAAAGTTTGTAGAAGTTGATGAGGAAGAAACGGAGAACTTTGTTACACTTATGTGTTGTTTAAAAGTCAGGGTCAGTTTCTGTAGTTTGGAATGTGTGAGGACAATGACGGACCAGAGAGAGAGAGACTAGAGAGAGAGACTAGAGAGAGACTAGAGAGAGACTAGAAAGAGAGACTAGAGAGAGACTAGAGAGCGAGAGAGACCAGAGAGAGACTAGAGAGAGAGACTAGAGAGACTAGAGAGAGACATGAGAGACTAGAGAGAGACTAGAGAGCGAGACTAGAGAGAGAGAGAGACTAGAGAGAGACATGAGAGACTAGAGAGAGACTAGATAGCGAGACTAGAGAGAGAGAGAGACTAGAGAGTGACTAGAGATAGACTAGAGAGAGACAAGAGAGAGACTAGAGAGAGAGACTAGAGAGTGACTAGAGATAGACTAGAGAGAGACAAGAGATAGACTAGAGAGAGACCAGAGAGAGACTAGAGAGAGAGCCTCCTCTGCTCCTCAGAGTCCCAGCAGGAGGCCAGTCCCCTGTGCTACTCAGATTCCAAGTTGGATTAAAGATGTATTCCACAACTACTACCACCACTAAGCCAATTTTTTAAAGATTTGACAACGTCCAGAAATCCATGAAGCTTAGAATCAAACAGTTTAATTCTTTCAAAGCTCATTTATTTGTGTTTGGAAAGTTACACATCCAGCTTTAGTTCAACAACTCAGTGAAAGAATCAAACCGTGAGATTTCTCTAAAAACCTCAGAAAACCTCGTCGACCCCAAACTTTCCCCTTGGCCTCAAAACTGATGCAACTGTGTGAAATATTGACTACAGGTACGGTCTCCCCAAACAGAGGCCGAGACTGTATCAAACCCGCTCTCGTCAAAGCAACAATCAGGTCTTTTTTTGTCCCTCTTCCCAAACTCCCAGAACAACAACAAAGACATTATCTATTCCGCTTCGACGGTGTGTTTGACCGCTGGAAGTCCACGGAAAAAAACTAATTATTTTCCCAAAGTGACTCCACTCTTTGCTGTGTCCTTGGAGATTCGCATGTTCGCCCGTTTTTTCCGTGTTTTTCTTCTTTACGGGTCGCGTCCCAAAAGAAGTGGACTCGGCAGTGCATTAACCTATGGCTCCGTCGCCAGGCCCGCCCCGGGGCACACGGCAGACCCTCCCCTCGGCGACAGTGGCCGAGGACAAATGGGAAGGAAGCGGCTCATTTAACAGCGGGAGGTCTGTAAACAAGTGCAGCGAAGTCTCCAAGGACGACGGAGAGTAAGTGATGAGGGAGGGTGGAGGTCTGGACTGAGGGGGGGGGGGGGGTGGGGGGGGGGGGCTGGACAGAGGGGAGGGTGGGGTTGGGGCGGCCCCTCCCCTCGGCTTGGGCGGAGTCACTTGTGGGTGTTTGGACACATTTGGATGCGACTGAGTGGTTTGAAAAGTGAGGTGACCGGAGAGGGAGAGACCAGAGAGAGAGAGACAAGAGAGGGAGAGACCAGAGAGAGAGAGACAAGAGAGGGAGAGACCAGAGAGAGAGAGACAAGAGAGGGAGAGACCAGAGAGAGAGACAAGAGAGGGAGAGACCAGAGAGAGAAAAAACTAGAGAGGGAGAGACCAGAGAGAGAGAGAGAGATAGACAAAAGAGGGAGAGACAAGAGAGAGAGCAAGACCAGAGAGAGAGCGAGACCAGAGAGGGAGAGACCAGAGAGAGAGAGAGACTAGAGAGCGGATGACCAGAGATATCAAACCTGTTGATTCTAGGTCTGAGTGCTGCTGCAGCTGTCAAAAGACGGGCATACACTGTAAAATACAGCTGCAGAAGACAAACTGGAGTTCACAGAAGTTTTCTCAATTCCCACATTTCATTTTCTCTGTGTGCACATCCAGATACATCCACTTATGGACTCTGGACTCTAGACTCTGGACTGTAGACTCTGGACTGTGGTCTCTACACTCTGGAATGTGGGCTCTAGACTCTGGACTGTGGTCTCTGGACTCTGGACTGTGGTCTCTCGACTCTGGACTGTGGTCTCTGGACTGTGGACTCTAGACTCTGGACTGTGGACTCTAGACTCTGGACTGTGGTCTCTTGACTCTGGACTCTAGACTCTGGACTGTGGACTCCAGACTATGGTCTCTAGACTCTGGACTGTGGACTCTGAACTCTGGACTGTGGTCTCTGGACTCTGGACTCTAGACTGTGGTCTCTAGACTCAGGACTGTGGTCTCTGGACTCTGGACTGTGGACTCTAGATTCTGGACTGTGGTATCTGGACTCTGGACTGTGGTCTCTGGACTGTGGGCTGTAGACTCTGGACTATGGTCTCTAGACTCTGGACTGTGGACTCTGGACTCTGGACTGTGGTCTCTGGACTCTGGACTGTGGTCTCTGAACTGTGGTCTCTGGACTCTGGACTGGGGTCTCTGGACTGTGGGCTCTAGACTCTGGACTGTGGTCTCTGGACTCTGGACTGTGGTCTCTAGACTCTGGACTGTGGTCTCTGGACTCTGGACTGTGGTCTCTAGACTCTGGACTGTGGTCTCTGGACTCTTCTTCTTCTCTCAGATGTAAACCCGGTACTACTTCTTCTTCTTCCTCTTCTTCTCCTTCTTCCTCTTCTTCTCCTTCTTCCTCTTCTTCTTCTTCTTCTTCTCCTTCTTCTTCTTCTCCTCCTTCTCCTTCTCCTTCTTCTCCTTCTTCTTCTTCTTCTTCTCCTTCTCCTTCTTCTTCTCCTTCTCCTTCTCCTTCTCCTTCTCCTTCTTCTTCTTCTTCTTCTCTCTGATCTAAACCCGGCACTCCCACCTCTGCTCCGTTCACTTCCAAACAATAACCAACACTTTTAAATTCCTCTCGTTTCACTCCCGTTTTTCCCGCTCACTTCTTTTCCGCGGCACTTTGCACTATATCATAATAATTAGCTCGGCGCCTAATTAACTTTTGTTTTATCAAAATAATTAGGAATTTGTTCAAAGAAAGGCAAACTTGGGCTTTAATCCGACGGAACATGGCTGAGATGAAAGGGCCTTTTGATACGGTGATCGTTCGCCCACGCCGCTCGCTCGCTACTGTTGCCGCGGCGACATTGAGGCGACCCAGAAAATTCTGTGTCATTATAAGCGCTTAGCCGAGTTTGTGCGTTTGCCTCGACTCCGGGAGCGTCGTCCGTTTGACCTGACGACAGACGCCACGGGATTATTCAGCGTTTGAGACGATTGTTTTTAGATTCATTTTAAGAAATTATTTGAAAGTGACGTTTTACTTTCACTTTCATCACGTTCTGCATAAAACTGCTCTCACCTCTGTCCACTCCACAGACGTGTTTCCGAGCACTGATGATGAAGCTAGAGATATTCAATCTGGTCTCTCTCTCTCCCTGGTCTCTCTCTCTCCCTGGTCTCTCTCCTCTCTCTGGTCTCTCTCTCTCTGGTCTCTCTCTCTCTCTGGTCTCTCTCTCTGGTCTCTCCTCTCTCTGGTCTCTCTCTCTCCCTGGTCTCTCTCCTCTCTCTGGTCTCTCTATCTCTCTGGTCTCTCCTCTCTCTGGTCCCTTTCTCCCTCTCTCCCTAGTCTCCCCCCCCCCCCCCCCCTCTCTCTGTCATCCCCTCGGCCTCAGACTTAGCCAGACTTACCAGTATAGGTTTTTGAGTCTCTCTCTCTCTCTCTCTCTCTCTATCTCTCTGTCTCCCCCCCTCCCTCAGCCTCAGACTTACCCAAACTTACCAGTATAGGTTTTTGAGTCTCTCTCTCTCTCTCTCTCTCTCTCTCTGGTCTCCCCCCCTCTCCCCTCCCCCTCCCCTCAGCCTCAGACTTACCCAGACTTACCAGTATAGGTTTTTGAGTCTCTCTCTCTCTCTCTCTGGTCTCCCCCCCTCTCCCCTCCCCCCTCCCTCAGCCTCAGACTTACCCAGACTTACCAGTATAGGTTTTTGAGTCTCTCTCTCTCTCTGGTCTCCCCCCTCTCCCCTCCCCCCTCCCTCAGCCTCAGACTTACCCAGACTTACCAGTATAGGTTTTTGAGTCTCTCTCTCTCTCTCTCTCTCTCTCTGGTCCTCCCCCCCTCTCCCCTCCCCCCTCCCTCAGCCTCAGACTTACCCAGACTTAGCAGTGTTTGTGACGTGACACGTGTCGGATCGGTCCCGTGATCGGTCCGTGATCCCGGGTCTCGTGAGTCTCGGCGGCGGCTCCCCCTGAATCTGCTGTTGTAGGATCTTCCTGATGAAGTCATTAAGAAGCCATTATAAAATCATTAGGAACCGTTAAGCGTGAGGTGGCTCCGCGGCGTGGCACGAGGCGGCGGCAGAACCTGTTCATCATCACTTTGTTTGTTCCCCACGCGCTCACAGTAAACAGGAGAGAGTGTGTGTGTGTGTGTGTGTGTGTGTGTGTGTGTGTGTGTGTGTGTGTGTGTGCGTCGCCCAAAAACAACTCTCCCAAGCAATAAACGGAGGAGCTCGTCACTCACTTTGAACCTAATCAGCCCCGCGCCTCATTTATAACTCAGATAAGTGTTTTCGGTCGTCGCTGCTTCCAAATAATTACTTAGGAGTTGAGTTTGTACCTGAGAGAACGCTCCAGGACTGAGATCTGCTCAAAACCTTGTCATTTTCTTACAGTCTGATGTGGGAGTTAAGACCAAGATGGCGTCCTGTTCAAATGAAAGGCTTGTGCTCAGTGGTTCATGGGACTTCACGGGCGCTGACATATCAGAGGAACTCGCCTATATTTGGGCATCGTCCGGTCCTCCCGGTTCTGTGCAGTGGACGAGCTCCCATGATGCTTTGCGCCAAACATGCGTGTGTGGCTCTCATGCACGTGCACAGAGGGGCTCGGCCTCGCTCTGACCAATCAGAGCTGATCAGAGCAGCAGCAGGGCGGAGTCAGAGCGGGAAGGACAGGAGCAGAGTTTGTGGCAGTAAAGTGTGGATTTAAAGAAAACAGAAGGATTTAAGAAGAAAAAAGTTCAGGACGACAAGAGACACTAACATCCCCACAACATCTGACCTTTATGGAAGCTGTAGGTTCTTTGTCAGGTTCTCTGTCAGGTTCTCTGTCAGGTTCTCTGTCAGGTTCTCTGTCAGCTGAGGTCGAGCTGTTTTAGTTTACATTGAGTTCTATGAGACTTTTTTCTGGGTAGCCCACGTGAATTTAGTCTGCAGTACCACAGCGCCCCCTGTGGCCATGGGTGGGACAGCTATAAGCTCGTAATACTCTATCCAGTTATTATTATAGATCCATGGTCCGGTCACTCTCTCTCTTTCGGGCGGCACGGTGGCTGAGTGGATAGCACTCTCGCCTCTCAGCAAGAAGGTCCTGGGTTCAAATCCCGGTTGGACCAGGGCCTTTCTGAGTGGAGTTTGCATGTTCTCCCCGTGTCTGCGTAGGTTTCCTCCGGGTGCTCCGGTTTCCCCTACCACTAAAAATATGTACAATAGGTATGGCATGTGCCTCCTGTACTGGCACCCCCACTCCCAAAAAAATAACAATTGTAAACCGCTTTGAGACTCCGATGTGCAGTGAAAAGGCGGTATATAAATAAAAGCTTACTTACTTACTTACTTACTCTTTCTCAGCCTCTGGTTTCTGTCTCTTTCTCTCTCTATCTCTGCCTCGTTCTGTCGCTGGTCTCTCTCTTTCTCGTTTCTGTCTCTTTCTCTCTGTCTCTTGCCTTTCTAGATTGTCTCTCTCTCTGTTTGTTAACATTTTCCACCACTCTTTGCTTACAGTCTGTTGTGTGAGTTTAGTTCAAATTCATCCTCTCTCTCTCTTTCTCTCTCGTCCGTCTCTCTCTTTGTCTCCAGTCTCTCTCTTTCTCTCGTCTTTCTTTCTCCCTCGCTTTCTCTCTCTCTCTCTCTCTGTCTCTATCTCTGCATAAAATAAACTAAAGAAGCTCGTCACTCATTTTGAACCTAATCAGCCTCACGTTAGCATGCTGACGTTAGCATGCTCACGTTAGCATGCTCACGTTAGCATCCTCACCTTAGCTCTTAGCTTCTCTGTTGGGGTTCTGGTCAGATCAATGCAGTAAATCCAAGCTCTTTATAATAATAATAATAATAATAATAATAATACATCAAACGTATACAGCGCTTTTTGGGCTCTAAAAAACACTTTACAAAAAAAAAACATTGAAGAACAAAATCATGGAAAGGCTGTTACAAACTCTCGGAACCAAAACAGTCCATAATCACTTGATTCTGTTTTCTTTCACATACGACCAAAGATTAGACTGTATATAAAACATTAAAATCTCTATAATGTTCTTGACGAGAAAACGAATCAATATAATTAGCAAATAAACCAACAGTATTGTCTGATCGTAGTTTAAAGGCAGCGAACCACAGCTACAGATGTGTTTTTAATGCCTCGGTCAGTCAGTTCTGCAAATGTCGTCTTCTGCACCTCCTGCTGAAGAGCTGATAGAGAACCACCGGGGCCTCCGTCGCTCCCTGGCCTCCTGCTCCTATCTCCCTCTGTCTGGGCCTGCCCCCCCCGCTCCTCCCCCCCTCCCTCCAGAGAAATCCTCGGCTGATAATTAGCGAGCGAGTCCTAATGACTTTGATAAGGGCCTGGTGCGGGGTGTGTACGGCGAGGCAGAAACACCGGGGTTAAGCACATGTGACCAGAGCCAAACACGCTGCAGTCAATGGGGCGTGCGGCGGCAGACGTCTCCGAGCGCTTCACCGTGGACCGACACGGCGGCGTTTTGGCGAATAAGTGGTTGTGCGAGGAGTTCGGGGTCACGATGCCGACAGATGAGGTCTCTGCGACGGTGAGGCTGTGTACGAATGTGAGACGTATTAATCTGACTTTCCAATGAACAGGAATACAAATGGATAAACATGGCTGCAATGTATTTGTAGGCAGACCAAGACGAACTAAGTAGGACCAGGGCAGACCAAGACGGACCAAGATGGACCAAGACAGACCAAGATAGACCAAGACAGACCAAGAAAGACCAAGAAAGACCAAGACAGACCAAGGCAGACCAAGATAAACCAAGATAAACCAAGATGGACCAAGACAGACCGAGATAGACTGAGACAGCCCGAGACAGACCCAGACGGACCGAGACGGACAGAGGCGTATCGAGGCAGACCGAAGCAGACCAAGACAGACCAAGAAAGACCAAGATGGACTAAGACAGACCAAGAAAGACCAAGCCAGACCAAGACAGACCAAGGCAGACCAAGATAGACCAAGATAGACCAAGATAAACCAAGATGGACCAAGATAAACCAAGATGGACCAAGACAGAGCAAGAAAGACCATGAAAGACCGAGATAGACTGAGACAGCCCGAGACAGACCCAGACGGACCGAGACGGACCGAGGCGTATCGAGGCAGACCGAAGCAGACCGAAGCAGACCAAGACAGACCAAGAAAGACCAAGATGGACCAAGACAGACCAAGACGGACCAAGACAGACCAAGATAGACCAAGATAGACCAAGATAAACCAAGATGGACCAAGACAGACCAAGAAAGACCATGAAAGACCGAGACAGCCCGAGACAGACCCAGACGGACCGAGGCGGACCGAGGCGTATCGAGGCAGACCGAAGCAGACCGAAGCAGACCAAGATAGACCAAGACAGCCCGGCAGTGACCTTCTTAAAGTGGTGATGTAATGGAGGATCAGTCCGATGTCCGAGACCGTCCGAGGAGATAAAACAGAAGTGTGTAAACCCGGGCCTCTGAGTCCTGCCTTCACGCTGACATTCAGACACATGTAAAACACAGCTAAGAACTGATACAACTGCAAAAAGACTAGATCATGAGGCGGGTTAAAGGCCCGGACACATGGTTTTGAGATAATCAATGGAACCACAGTTAAATACTCCAGCCTTAAAGAAAATCCCAAACCCAGTCCATAATGGAGACTGAACTGGATCTGGCAGTGCATGAAGGACTGTTCGAACGTTCGGCCGGTCTTTCCAACACGGACAAAACTCATCTGGAAATCTGCTTCGAATCAGTCTCCATAAACTGGTACAAAAACCGGCGCTTGTGATTTATCCACTGCTGTCTACTGCAGCGCCAGCCAGCTCACTTCATCGTCTAATAATAGTTGGATTTCAGTCTGTTCTTCCATCTTCCCCTTCGGTTCCAGGCTCCGGTCCAGCTCTGAGCTTCTCCCTCTAGTTTAGCCGCCCTCCTCCCCCTCCTCCTCCTCTTCCTCCTCCTCTCAACCGCCGCCAAAATAATCCCAGAAAATCTCCCAAAATAAACGCCTCTGAAATGGAGAGCAAACAGAGAAAAGACAGGTGTATCCCACTCACGTGTGAACTCTGGGAACGGAGTCTGAGAGAGAGAGGGGGGAGACGGGGGAGAGAGGGGGGAGACGCAGGGAATCATCTATGCATACACAACATCCATGCATACTTAAATAGGTGGTCATTTAACTTCAATTAATTCTGTTTGCATTTTTAAACATTATACACTGCAAAAAGTCAGGATAATCTAAAGAAAAAAATGGCTCAAATTTGGTGTAAAAAAGTCTTAATTTGAGCACATTCAGTCTGAGATTTACCAATGGGACAAAGCAAAATTATGATGTTTTAATAAGAAAAAAATGTCTTCTTTGGAATGAGAAAATAAACAGTTTTGAAATCAGACTAAATCGTTTTGTCCTGTCGAGAATCATATTTTAATCAGAATCTCTAAAAACAAAAAACACAGGATTCAAGCAAATATTTAATTTATCATTTTTTGCAGTGTGACCCTGTGCTTTTGTGCAAGTTAAGTAAATAGTTGGACCTTTAGACTCTTAGGTTCAATGTTAGTCTGTGTCTTTATCATGGAACCACACAGACCGGTCTTCGGTTCAATCCTCCAGATCGATCAGAAGCTAAGATAGGGTTAGGGTTGGAACCACACAGACCGGTCTTCGGTTCAATCCTCCAGATCGATCAGAAGCTAAGATAGGGTTAGGGTTGGAACCACACAGACCGGTCTTCGGTTCAATCCTCCAGATCGATCTGAAGCTAAGATAGGGTTAGGGTTGGAACCACACAGACCGGTCTTCGGTTCAATCCTCCAGATCGATCTGAAGCTAAGATAGGGTTAGGGTTGGAACCACACAGACCGGTCTTCGGTTCAATCCTCAAGATCGATCTGAAGCTACGATAGGGTTAGGGTTGGAACCACACAGACCGGTCTTCGGTTCAATCCTCAAGATCGATCTGAAGCTAAGATAGGGTTAGGGTTGGAACCACACAGACCGGTCTTCGGCTTAATCCTCCAGATCGATCTGAAGCTAAGATAGGGTTAGGGTTGGAACCACCACAGACCGGTCTTCGGTTCAATCCTCCAGATCGATCTGAAGCTAAGATAGGGTTAGGGTTGGAACCACACAGACCGGTCTTCGGTTCAATCCTCCAGATCGATCTGAAGCTAAGATAGGGTTAGGGTTGGAACCACACAGACCGGTCTTCGGTTCAATCCTCAAGATCGATCTGAAGCTAAGATAGGGTTAGGGTTGGAACCACACAGACCGGTCTTCGGTTCAATCCTCAAGATCGATCTGAAGCTAAGATAGGGTTAGGGTTGGAACCACACAGACCGGTCTTCGGTTCAATCCTCCAGATCGATCAGAAGCTAAGATAGGGTTAGGGTTGGAACCACACAGACCGGTCTTCGGCTCAATCCTCCAGATCGATCTGAAGCTAAGATAGGGTTAGGGTTGAAACCACACAGACCGGTCTTCGGTTCAATCCTCCAGATCGATCTGAAGCTGAGACGGGCCCAGAGTGGATTGAAGTCCGGTCTCTGATGCTGCCGATGTGTCTGTGGCTCTGAAAACAGCTGCGAATCTCTTGGTGCTAGAAAAGTGTAGTTCTTGTTTGGTATTTGGGGTTAGGACCAGTAAGTATCATTATCTTTTTCTTCCCACTGTTTTTTTTTTTTCTAGAGTTTTTCCTCTGATGCAGGAGTCT